ATTATCAAGGGTTCATGAGGGAGGGAGGGGAGGGGAGGGAGGGAAAAAAAATGAGGAGCTGATACCAAGGGCTCAAGAAGAAAGAAAATGTTTTGAAAATGATGATGGCATCATATGTACAAATGTGCTTGACACAATGGTTCTATGTATGAATTGTGATAAGAGCTGTACAAGCTCCCAATAAAATGACTGAGAAAAAGAAACAAACAGTTGGGCCAGCTTTAGTGAATGAGAAGTTGAAAGAGCTGCACTTTAGACAGGCAGGTTGAAAAGCAATAGGGCTAAATTAAAGTTTTGATATAAAAAAATTTTACTCTCAAAGAGACCATGTGTAAACATGCTATTGTAGGTGTTCAAGACCCGTGGGAAGTAGAACTATGCAAACCACAGGTGGGCAATCATTTCCTGCATATTCATGTGGTTACATTGCCAAACACTTGCCTTCTTCAGACATTCCCACACAGAAGTCAATAAAGAAAGATAATTCCAAGATGTTGACCTAAAATCTCATCTTTCCCTAAATCACTTAACTGCCTTAAATACAAACAACAAAGCTAGAGAGGCATACAAAACCGGGAGCTGCTTCAGTCTGTGCAAGCACTTGGACAGTTAGTTGTAGTCTCCTCTCCGTTACCCCCATGTGAATCAGCACATCAGAACGTATTGGTGGAGGTGTGGTGGGAGTCCATTGAGTCACATGAAATAGAAGTTTTAACAATCTATGAACTAACTTCAAGTCATGTCAACATGTGTGCAGAGGAGGGAAGCAGAGGCCTCATTATAGATAGAACCACAGGGGACATTAAATTGATGATGGCCAAAGAAATGAGAATTGTAGGTAAAGGTTGAGGAAGGAAAGAGACAACATAGAAGGAAAGCAAGGGCCTTGAAAAGGTGACGTCCACTCATTCCCTGCTATCTCAAGTAGTGTCCTCACATTTTGAAGCAAAAGAAAAGGCTAAATTTGAGAAACTAGATAAAAATGTAACATCCTTAGAGTTCTGTGGCTTCATCCTGTCTGATGCAGAGATATTGAAATCCTCACTACCTACAAGATCATGTGAGATACGGCTTGGCTCAAGATTATATGCTACTACATATGTAAATGTATTAACATATAACAATAGGGATATAGGATTATGTACATTTATTTAAATGTTAAGTATTAAGGTAGCAGGCAGACATTGGGCTTCTACTCAAGTACTCCCTCAACACAAAAACACTTTGTTTTAATAACCTGGAATTCTGTGATGCTCACCTTTCCCCCAACAGAATCACTGAAGACAAAATGAGTACATAAGCAAATGTGGTGAAGCTGATGGTGCCCTGCTATTATAAGATATAGCGTCTGGAGTCATAAAGGCTTGAAGATAAACAAGCAGCCATCTAGCAGGGAATCAACAAAGCTCACATGGAAGAAGCACACTAGCCTGTGTGATCATGAGGTGTTGACAGGATCAGGTATCAGGCATCAGAACACCCCAAGCAAACAGTTATATCGATTTGAATGAGGGGAGTCAAAGTGGAGACCCAAAACCCATCTGTAGACAACTGGAAAACCCCTCGTGGAAGAGTCACAAGGAACGAATGAGTCAGCCAGGGTGCAGTACAGCACGGACAAAACACACAACAGTCCGTTAGTTCTTCAATGCCTCCTCCCCTTCACTATCATGACCCAGTTCTACCTTACAAATCTTGCTAGACCAGAGCATGTACAGTCAGTGGTACAGATTAGAATTCTAAACACATGGAATCCAGGACAGACAAAACCCTCAGGAACAGTAATGGGAGTAGTGATACCATGAGGGTGGGGGGAAGGTGAGGGGAGAAGAGGGAGAAAGGGAGAACTGATTGCAAGGATCAACATATAACACACACTCACCCCAACCCAGGGGGATGAACAACAGAAATATGGGTGAAGGGAGACAGCGGTCAGTGTAAGATATGAAAATAACAATAATTTATAATTTATCAAGGGGTCACCAGGGTGGGAAGGTGTGGGAGGGAGGGAAAACGAGGAGCTGAGACCAAGGGCTCAAGTAGAAAGAAAATGTTTTGAAAATGGTGGCAACATATGTACAAATGTGCTTGATACAATTGATGAGTGGATTGTTATACGAGCTGTAAGAGCCCCCAGTAAAATGATATATATATTATTCAAATGCAATTGGCCTCCTAAATGATACCCAACACTACATTTTTAAAATACTCAGAATCCAAACCCACTCCCAATCAGCCAATTCCAACTCATAGCGACCCTTCTAAGACAATGTAGAATTAATCCTTAGAATTTGATGGCTGTCAATATTTATGGATGCAAACTACTTTATCTTTCTCCCATGAAGCTTATGGTGCAAACCAACTTGTTGGTTAGCAGCCCGATGCTTAACCCACCAGGCCACCAGGGATCTCTACATTGAAACAGACAAGTTAATTTTTAAAACGTTTTATTGTTAATTGTGTGAAGGTTTACAGAACAGTTCATCAGTTTTACATTTAACAATTCGTAAACATTCTGATTCATCATTGTAATCCTCTCACTCTAATATCAATCATCCCACTTCCTCCTGATGTTTCCTGATTCCATTCCTTCCTTCCAAACCTCTGAAGTTTTTCTTTGGGTAAATGCTGCCCTTTTCATTTTAAATGATGGATTTTTCTGACTTGGAGGTG